GTTCTGAATTTCATGATTTTTAACAGGTTTAGTGAGTTTAAAGAATAATCCCAGTACTCTAATGTATGTGGAAAACATAGGTAAACTTGCAGGAAGCAATTGTCGGTCTTCAGACATGTATATATAAAGGATTCCTATATATCCTAAAAGAACTAGGTTTGATAATTTTAAGATCCACTACATGGGAATCAAGAACAGAATGATAACTTTCCAAAACCAACAGCTGCCATATCTTAGGAAAATATTAACTGCTGTTTAAAGAACTCTTCTACTACCTGGACCAACACCTCCTTCCAATCATGTCCTATATGCTCACACTTTCCCTAATTTCTATTCTCTTATCATGGTGAGATTCATTTGCCAAGAATTCTTTGTTGGTAATAGATCAGAAGATTTGGAGGAGATAAGTAAAAATAAAAACACAATTTTCCATGGAAACATGCACGTGAACAACGTGATTATTTAGAACCCAAAGTATATACTTTGAAGTTGAAAGAAAACATTACTGTTTTAACTCCTAGAGATGGAATTTTTTTTCTCTTTCTGTTTCATTTATTTCAAACAAATATCGTAAATGCTATAATATAAAGTAAATATTGTGTTTAATGCAACATCACATTTCGTAAAAAGGATCCCGAGAAATTTTCTGATGGGGGCCCACAATCTATAAGGGAGTGACACTGCATTGTCAGTTCTTTTTATTTGCTCACCATTAAAAAAAACCTCTCTTTTAGGCTAACACTTTGCAGAAGCTAATCCCAGACAAGGAGGAAGTTAAATTACATCCATTTACCCTTTTAGGGAATAGAGTAATTTAATATACCCACTACTCCACCTCCTCCCCTATGGATTCATTGCAATTTAACTCTCAAAAGAGGTTTTTGTGTGACTGTTCCCTAAAGATTATGGTCTGTGCTCAAACACAAGGCCATATAATAAGTAACTGAAAGAATTTCCAAATGTGATTTTATTTGTACTTGAAGCACTCCATTTAGAACAGTAAGCGTACAATGAGGTGAATAAATTGAAATGTATGTCTTTAGATTTGGAATGGTGAAGCACAGGAGTGATGTGAGCAAAGTACCCAGATGACAGAAGTTGGATGTATTCCTCCTTAGAATGATGGCCTTGGTTAGCAGAAAGATAAATATAGATAAATTTATGATAATGAGGCATAAGCTAGAAGTGTGTCTCCCATCTACCAAAACACTTAGAAAAGTTCTTTTATTCTTTTTCTCTTCCAAAGTAAACAGATCTTTGGGGCCTCTGACATGCAATAGGAACTTTAGCAGCAGACAGGCTATTCTGATTATAGTTACACTTGCATTTATAGCCATTCTATTTTCACTTTTGTTATAACAGATCAGAAACCTTAAATAACTCCACAGAAGCTAAGTAAGCAGGTCTTTAGCAAACAACTTCCATGTCTCTTGAGACTATATTAATACAGTATTACATACAGTCTTAAGGGTTATTAATGCTACTCTGTAAACATTCCTTGTTAAATAAATAAAAATTTGCAATTTCTGATTTCCAGGCTATCAATGCAGATGTGGATAGTTTTAGTCTATTCTTTCTTATGCTCTCCAAACTCTGAAATTGCTGCTTAGATTTTCTCTATTTATATTGATGAAAAAAGCCCGCCTGCTTCAAGGAAAGCAGTGAGTGAGCGTCGTAGGCATGATTTTCCTCTAACGTAGTTCTCAAGTGTGTATCCAAAAGCTCCTGAGGGTGCTTGGTAAAAGTACAGATCCTGGACTGTACCAATACCCATCCTATTTTTGGTCTGGGGGAAAACAGACCAAACTGCACTTCTAACGTACTTTCCTGGTGAATCTGGGACAGGCAACTCACACACCAGAAAACACTGTCCTGAGATTCCAAAGAAATTCAAAATTATTTTCTGGATACAAATATTATTCTATCTTTTGAATGATAATGGGCTTCAAAAAATAACCAAGTGTTATGAACTTGAATCCATTACAATACCAAGCAATATCTCTGCCACCCTTTCAGAAATTAGTTTTGAACTGCACCTACTCAGGCAGCTTCTGGAACGCTAGTTAAATAAACTCCCATATTGTTATTAAACTTTCCAGATGGGTTTATCTCCCCAACTCAAGTTTGTGCTCCTGGGAGGTAAGAACTATGTTTATATATTTTTTAAAAAATATTTTCAACATTATCTAGTGTTCTTAATAAATATTTATTAGGCCCTCAATAAACATTTTAATTTTGAATAAAATGCAACTTAAGTTGCTTTAAAATCTGCTTTAGCTCCTGAGGCATGAAGCCATCTCTCTTGTGGATATTGCTTCAAACCAAGTTGTTCCAATATCTCTTTGCACGGTAGAAAATGAAGGCCAAACCTAATATTCATTAGAAATGGCAACTGCTTGTGTGCTCCTTTATTTAGCCACTAGGAAATGGCAGAGTGACAGTAATAGCTTTGACTGATTACTTGTCAAGGGAAAACCAAGCCCTCGGGGTGTTCCAGACTCTTTTGGCCTATAAACCTGTTTGAAAACCTGTTTCTCAGAATTTAAAGCTTAGCTCAATTGAGGTCAGTAATGCCAATATTTCTACCGCTCTCAGCCTTTAGGCAGACCAGTACAATTTATCATTAACTTTATTTTCATGGAAAGGCAACTTTTGGGAAAATAGCTCTAAGTTAAACTATTTTATTTTGATTTTCTTTCCCTTAAGAAATAGTTCTGCCAATATTGCTTCCTTTGAATTTTGTGCTTTCTAAACCTTAAACACCTTCCAGTGGCTGAAAGTATTTCCAAAAATCAGCATGGTTCTGAATTCACAAAATTTGGGCATCACAGGACAATAACTTGGAACTTTCAGAAAAAGACCAAATAAACCATTGAGCCTGGAAGTAATCTTCAGTAATTGGAACTTTATGAGGTTTCAAAATTACCTCTGCTTTTAACTGCATTTTAGGGGTGTGGTACTAAGTTGTACTGTATAGAGGACACTCTGACAGGATCTATTTTTTTTTCTCCTAGAAGTCAAAAGCTGATGAATAAACCAATATTCATCCTCATCTGAACAGACAGCTTCACTCCTGGTTGGCAGATAGGAGCACATGCCTAAGGTAGATTAACCACATCCTCTCCAGGTAAGGACTTCGAGGCATCCCCAGGGTTGGATTTGTGGTGATGATCCAAGGAGTTAGTTTTTCATTTCCTATAGGATTTCTCTTTTGAAACAGCAGGTAATTGACCCAGAAGGAACACAAGTATAAGAAAGGGAAAAGAATCCACACTTTAAGAACAGTCTCTGGATGAAGACACTGCCAGTCAAGTGTTCATCAGAGCCCTGACTGTATTAGGATGAGGACCAGCCGACCAGCCTGCTTCCATTGTCTGTCATGTAAGAAGTAATGCCAGGATAAATTGCTTGAACATTAAAAAAATGGGATCTGGGGGAAGTGGCTCAAATGGTAAAGCATCTGCCTAGCAACTGCAAGGCCCTGAACTCAAACTCCAGTACTATGAAAAATAATTATTTCTTTACTTTCCCATGATATTAAATCACTTAGAACTTCCTTGTTTTAATATTTAGAATACTTGTCAAGTGTTCTAAACATGTTCCTCATTTTAGAAGAAACTCTGCCATTTGCTATTTCAGTCATAGTTTATATTTGTTTCTTTCAATATTCAAAATAAAATCCACATAGAGATAGATAAAAAAGATTTCTCTTCTATTTCTAGAATGTTAAGAAGGAAAGTGGCTCAAGATAGATATTCATTGGATTAAATCCTGCCACTTATTTAGGGTAGGGAAAATATTCACTCACATTTAGGACATCATTATTTTTCCTAAGCAGGAAAAAGCAGTAGATTTAGAGGACATTGCTCCTGATATGTGAATTTATTAAGGTGAATACAAGTTCCAACTTTAATTTTTCTCTAAACTAACATGAACTAAGCTGAAAATAGAAATAATTAACTAAAGCCACTCATCACATATTATACATATTATATTTGCCTTATCTGATCATCTTGAATCCTTTATAAGGAGTATATAAGGGCTTATTTACTTTTGTTTTCTTAGATGTTTGCCATAGCACACACACCAAATAAATGCTCACAATTTAGTGACTTGAATATATTCTTTTCTAAGATATGAAAAAATGGTTAAAGAGCTGCAATTTCTTAATGGCCAGTAGAGGGCAATAAAGTTGAAATTTTATTTCAGTATTTATTATTTAATTCATTAGGTCTTATTTAAACCCACTTCCAGATCCCATTCTGTCCTGGAAAGACTTCCTCTAGAGTAGTCTCATGATTTCACTGTAGTGCCACTATACCGTGGTAGGCCCCCTCTGCTTTCTCCTAACCTCCACACAATAAACAAGTGACTGTACTAGAGTCAGACTGCTGTGCATTGATTTACACACCACACCTCCCTCAGGTTGTTTTATCCTTAACTAATCACGGTCATTTGACAATGGTTAATCCTTAAAAGTAAAAGACCAAGGAGAACTCTGGATAAGATGGAGAATAGGGGAGTGGTTTTAGTTTTCAGCTTCATGTGGTAGGAAACTGTATGTACAGTAAGATACCAATCTCTAAAAGAATTGGCCCAAACATAGGCCCATTACTTATGCATACATAAAGATCAGAAGAAAAATTATGGTTAACAATTGATGCTAGAATATTAAGATTTTTAAAAATCTTATTTATAATTTCTTATATTTTTCAGATTTTATAGGGAATAGGTATTTCTTCTAGGAAAAAAAAGTATGTTTTGGAGCAAGTACCCTCCCCCAACCACCACCATCATTCTAGAAATGAGGAAGGCAGGCATGACTTATTGTCCTGGAATTAGCAAACTAGCTTTAGCAGGGCCTGTTTAGTCTTTATAATCTATCCCTTTTCCCCAAAATTAATTTGGGGAAAATTGAGGACCATTCAAGACATTCCACTAATTTTATAAACCCAAGTGCTCATTGGTCATTGGCATCACGTGTTGTCTCTCATTTCTCAAACTAAATGAGAGCAAGCAAGTTACAATAGCTTTGAGAAAGGGCTTCCCCTCCATATTTTATTTTTGATCTTGCATTTTTCCATTTCTACAGAACCTTGAATATTCTCCCATGTTATTTTTAGTCAACCTTTCAGGAGGGAAAAAAGTCAATCTAGGCTTCTGGCATGTCAGCTTTTCATAAAGTAACACAAAGCAGAGCTCCCAGCAAGCCGCATAAAACTTAGGATTTATGTGAGACCTTTCATCTACATCCATTTAAAATGTTCCCTGCTAGGCAACTGAGAGTAGATGGGAATCACTATATGAAAGGGCTTACTTTAAGGACTGGATACAGTGGCTCAAATGCTGCTTCAGTTCTTCCTCCTTTTCATATGACTCCAGTATACTATGTGCTTCATCATGGTGATAGCAGTAGGTTTTATAAATATCTTCCAGTGGCCCTTTAATCTGTAAGAACACGTCTCCTGATAAACGCAAAACAAAGGCAAAATGACATCATGTCAGACCAAAATGGCATTTCATATGTTCATTATTCAACAATATTGACTAATGTAAAAATGTTGGATGAGTCCCACCTTCTTTGGGAGGAATGTTAGACATTGATTTGTTTTCCTTTCCTTCTCTTTGTTTTTCCTATTTTTCCTTCCTTCCCTCCTTCCTCCCTCTCTCCTTTCTTTCTTCCTTCCTTCCTTCTTTTCTTTGAGTAGATGGTTAAAAGCAGACAGGTTCTGTATGGGTTTGAATCAGGTCATGATACAAACTAGCTTTGTGACTTGAGAAAATTATTTTCACTCTCTAAATCTATTTCATCATTATAAAATGGCAGTCTTAATAGATTCAATTTCATGTGGTTATTCTAAAAATTAAGAGAGGTAGTGAATGCAAAGCTCAAAGAATAGTACATACATAATAAATGCTGAAAATGGAGCAGGTTTTGTTAATTTATTAGAAGGATAGGAGGTGAAATTTCAGGTATAAGGTGAGCGATTTTTCAATATGTATTTCACTAACATTTCCTGAGGTTCTCTGAAAGGCAAGCAGCAGAGTTTAGAGAAATAAAATATTTCTTTAAATATGATAGTGAAAATGAATAGGTCATTATTTCCTTGTAAAATTCAATTGGATAATTCTATGAGCCAAGGTTTATGAGTGCAATTTCACAAAGCACTTGGGCTAATTGTGTCCAGGTATGTAATGAATCCTCTTGATATTATGATAAAATCAGGGCTATAAATGGTGGGCCAAGTAGATATTGGACAATAGTTTGATTTAATCACCCAGCCCATTGCTTAAACTGAGCAGTAAGCATCAACTCCTCACCCAGCACTGCATTTGATGCTGTGGGAGATACAGAAGAAACATGTGACAGGATCCGCTCCCAAAAAGTATTGCAAATTTGAGATTGAGGTTGATTTGGAGGCTGAATTGATGGTCATGGTTGCATTGATTGACAGTGATGTAAATCTATTTATTTGTATCTATTCCAGTAACAGAAGAAAGTCATTCTTCCTACAGAAATAGAAGTATACTTAGTACTTTAAACATGTTTTACAAACATTAACTGTTTCAACCCCTACATGCACACAAAGGTAAGATCTTATTTATCCATATTAATTAAGGATGAACAAATTTGAATTTGAAATGAACAAATGAATATCCCAAAGTTCTGTCAGGAGGTGACAAAGCTAGCAAAGGCCATTTTGCCTTCATTTTTGTCTTGGGATTTAGCCTTTCATATAACAGAGCTTCCCTGAATAACCATGAGGTGATACAGTCTGGAAGAGCATTAAACTCAGAATTAGTCAGGGGTGACTTTGGGAATGACTTTGTTCTTTAAAATATTTTGAGCCTATGTTCCCTCATACTATAGCAAAATGGAAATACAGTTACTATAGTACTATTGAGATTAATTTGACAATTAAATGGATGACAAATGTTATCTGCCACTAACTAGTTGCTCAAAAAAGGTCACTTGTCTCTTAAGCCTGCTTCACTATCTCTAGAATTAAAATACTACTGCTTTTATTTTTATTTTTTAATATTTTTTCATTTTTCTTTTATTATTCATATGTGCATACAAGGCTTGGTTCATTTCTCCCCCCTGCCCCCATCCCCTCCCTTACCACCCACTCCACCCCCTTCCGCTCCCCCCCCTCAATACCCAGCAGAAACTATTTTGCCCTTATCTCTAATTTTGTTGTAGAGAGAGTATAAGCAATAATAGGAAGGAACAAGGGGTTTTGCTGGTTGAGATGAGGATAGCTATACAGGGCATTGACTCACATTGATTTCCTGTGCATGGGTGTTACCTTCTATGTTAATTCTTTTTGATCTAACCTTTTCTCTAGTACCTGTTCCCCTTTTCCTATTGGCCTCAGTTGCTTTAAGGTATCTGCTTTAGTTTCTCTGCGTTGAGGGCAACAAATGCTAGCTAGTTTTTTAGGTGTCTTACCTATCCTCACCCCTCCCTTGTGTGCTCTCGCTTTTATCATGTGCTCATAGTCCAATCCCCTTGTTGTGTTTGCCCTTGATCTAATGTCCACATATGAGGGAGAACATACGAAAATACTAGTACTTTTAAAGCATCACATACTTTTCTAATTTATATTCATCCAATAAAAGACTTATTTCTTCTTCACTATATGGGATTTTTCTGTACTTATAATTAGACTCTGAGGTAATTTGAAGTTGTGTGTGTTGTGTTCTGTGTCTGTTGGTTTTTTGGGGGCTTGTAAAGAAACTCAATGACTGTGAGCATTTTTGGAGCTGAAGGATAAAGGATTCTTGTTTGGCTTCTGGGATTCTAATGAGAAGATCCTTCTGTTAGTGTAAAACTTGTAGATCTGCCCTTTAAGACAGGAACAGAAGCAGTTAGAAATGGTTAACACAGAAAAAGTGAAATAGGATAGCAGTTGAAACTACAGTTGGGCACAAAGGAAGAAAGACTCCCAGTAGGGGGAACCTGGTAACAAATGCGAGAGGGGAGAAGGAATTAAGGCCCAGAAGTGGGAGCAAGTGGCAGGTTTGGATGGAAGTTCTAGGGCAAGTTGAGAACAGAGGGTCCAAATTCATATACCATAGAAGATGAAGTTGTAAATACATATGTTCACTGCAAAGAAGGTAAGAGCAGAAACCAAAAAAATGAAAGATACAAGGACACCCTCCTAAATCCACAATATGATCAACTCAAAAAGTTAAAAAACAAAGACATTTATTTTATATGCAATTAAGCCATTAGTTGCAAATTCCCTTCTATCTTCTTAAAAAGAAGTGACCCAGTTTGAAAGAATATACAGTTCTCCCTTAACAGCAGAATCAATTCTTTTTCTTTTTACTCTTTTCCAACTAAAATTCTGTTCGGACTCTAATAATAATTAAAGTTAAAGGATATTTAAGTACTCTAATTGAAAGTCATTTATTCACCCAAAGGTCAAGTACAACACTGGCATGCAGAATATTTGATTCCCCTCCCAGCCCTACCAATGTATTCTGCTTCATAATAGTGCTGATGAAGCGAGGTGTCTTGCAGCATAAAGTGATTCTGTTTCCACGGTAACATAAGTCTCAGCTGCATTTCTTTAGTGGTGAAGGACAACTGCTCTGTCTAATGTATGTGGGTTTGAAGGGATGATTAGGAGTGGAGAAGGGACTCAACCACGACTAGTGAAGGTAATTTCACCCAGGCTGCCTGTCACAAAGGCGCTGAATTCCATGAAATAAATAAAACTACCATGTTCTTCCTCTTAAAATAATTTTCTTCTTAAAAATTCTACGACCCAAGAATTTCCTCACTGACTTTTCCAAAAAGCAATTGCCATGCAAAGGAGAAATGCACCCTTTAAATTTCCATGGTTATCTCCTTAAAACAACTCCAAAAGAATTGAGCATATTCTATGCCCTTGGATAATCATTCCTGTGTTGCAAATTGCTCCCTTTATTGTTGCAGCCATATTCATGCTCTACTTGAGTCACCTTTTCTTTTCTTGCAGGCTCTCATATCCATCCCCAAGGTGAGTTATACCAAACAATGTACCCTGTGTATTATTCTGGCTCCACTCAGATAAATTTCCCCTGTAGGTCAGTAAACTAGGGTAATAACAGTGATAGTCAAGGGATATCCTTATCCTAGTCTTTGTTTAGGAAAATGACACCAAACAGAATGGGAGTGGTGGTTACATGCTTTAGTCCATCCTTATTTGACAATTTACTGGTATTCTGCTTTGTAGCATGATTGGCATTTCAGATACAAAAAAAAGTAATAAATTCCTCAAGGAATGTATATAGACCAACAAGAGAGAAAGAAAAGAGCTAGTAGGCCATGTGAAAGTATCATAGACCTAGGAAGCCCAGAAGGGCATCTATTTAATCTTTGGGAACCTTGGAGCTACTCATAACAACCTGACCTTGAAACAGGAACTATGAGTGAGTCCAAAAGCAAGGAGGCAGACAGAAGGGGGTAAAGTGTGTTCAGAAACATTGAGTGGACTAGTATGACTAGATGGCTCCAGGTCTGTGAGAAAATTTCAGAAGAGACTGTAGAGGTGGGCATATTCTGAAAGAGTGTTTACCACTATAGAGTTGGAACCTGAGCCTGAAGGTGATGAAGAAGCACTGATGGATTTTAGGCAGCAGACTAACATGATACAACAGCATTTACAGAAAATATCCAAAGAGTGATTCCTATGAGAGATGGAATTTGAAAGAGGAGTTAGTGAGATTGGAGAAGAGAAACTAATCAAAAACTTCTATAATAGTAAAAGAAAGAAGCAGAGAGCTACACTAGGAAGTTACAGCCATTAAAAGTGCTCTATGGAGTGGTGTTGCTCAACCATTATAAGTGCAAAGCCTTAAGTTTGATCCCCAGTACCACACACATATAAATAAAAAGTGTTTTAGAGTTAACTGTCTGGGTTCAAGTCTTGGTCTTACCATTTACTCTATGTGTGATATTTGGGAAAGTTATTTGCCTTCTCTGTCCCTTAATTTCCTCATTTTAAAAATGGGGGTAATGAAGGAATGCGAGTCAGGTTACAATGAAGACACCTGCACACCCATGTTTATTGCAGCATTATTCACAATAACCAAGCTATGGAAACAGCCAAGATGTCCCACTACTGATGAATAAATAAGAAAATATGGTATTTACATACAATGGAATTTTATTCAGCCATGAAGAAGAATGAAATTTTGTTTGTAGGTACATGGATGGAATTGAAGAACATCATCTTAAATGAAGTTAGCCAGATTCAGAAAGTCAAAGCCTTCATGTTTTTTCTCATATGTGGAATATAGGCCCAAAACAAATATAAGCAATATTATATATGCATACAAATATATACAGAACATGAACCCAGAAGTGGGATTGGTAGGGGAAACTAAGAGAAGAGGAAAAGAAGGAAAGAAAGATAGCAAATAATACTGAAGTATATCACATCTGTATAAGAACAAGACACAAGGAAACACA